AACGTTGCTGGTCTAACTTTGGGTATATTCATAATAAACATCGTGCACGTCTAGATAATGAACGGGTAAAAAAACTTTTTGCAGTCTATCAGAATCTGAGAATTCAAAAAGGAATTTAGATTGATGGTTGGTTCGAAGTAGAGCTGCAGACATTTAGAAGGTCCAAGGTAGGTACGTCACTCTTTTACATCATATAAAATTTATATATAATCATATTAAACGTCACGTCTTATACGTCACGTCAAACGTCATAGTATATGTTCATTGATATTTTAATGCCTGCAGCTCTAGTTCGAAGACGATATATATATAAATAGTTAAGCAATTGCGCATTTCTTGCAATTATATAGTAACGAAAGTTTATAAAGTAAATATTTTTTCTTTAAAAGTTAACTCTATGAAATTTGGTGAATGGCATTTTAGGCCTAAAATTTAAATTTTAGTCTCGTTTTAAAAAGTTTTTTAAAAAGTTTTAAAACATCTAAAAAAACTGTTTAAAACGTTTTTTTTTCATCACTAACGAAACCTGGAAGTTTCGCGCTGACAAAACGCGAAATCTAGTTTCGTCTTTCTTCAATTAAAATCTTTAATGACAATACATAATAATGAAGGTGACGAAACTAATAAAAGATTAAGAAAAGGATTACCAGTTCCAAAATCGAATTTACAAAAAGAAATGATCTGTCATCATGTAAGACAATTCGATGATTTTGGCTTAAATAAATGCTGAAATTCGAAATATTCTTTTAAATCAAAAGTCATAAAAAAAGGCATATCTGTTTTCGAGATATCACATTATTTTACATTATTTGATAACGCATTCATTGTAAAATCGGGAATGAATAGCTACTAATACAGTATCTTAGATCAATACAATGAATTGTAGCATTCGTTTAGACCCAAATTCATCGAAAACAATTTAGCTGTTAGCTGTTCTCGAATTACAAAAAAAATTCCGAATAATATAATTTACTGGTTCGTTTGCTACTGATCGATGTAGTTGCGCAGCTATCTTAATATGTAAATATTGATGTTATTACAAGAATGTTAAAGTAAATTTTCAGAGAACTAAACTCGTTATGATAATATCGTAAATTGAAATAGATTTAGATTCGACTTTAAACGACTCGATACTCTAACCGACTCAAAAATCGGTTCAACATCCCGTACAGTACTAACAATAAACATAGTTAAATGATATATCAAAATTCACGAATAGAACTTATTACAAATGAAATAAATATTATGAAGAAATACGGTAAATATATAAAATTAAAAATAAAAAAAAAGAATAAATTTGCGATATCTGTAATTAAATGATTTGAAATACTTCATAGTCATATATCGAAAATTCTTTAGCAGTTCTGATCGGTTTTTCATATGAAAAATTTACACAGTAACAATTGTAATTATCATCATCTTTTAGACTCAAATCATGATTCCATTTCAACACTAGGTCCGTTACACCAAAACTTGGACCATCATTTTTTGCGTTAACTATTGCTTTTTTATCTTTTTAACACGACTCAAGGTCGATTTTTCAGAGCTGTCACTACTTAATGAAAAGATAAAGCTATGTTTAGTTTGAAGAAAACCTGACTTATGATTTCTATCCCATGAAAGTGGATTGTAGCCTCCTAGTATCTCGTTAGTATTCTTGACTTTTAAAATTATTACAACTTGAGGTATTTTATCACATAATTTGTGAAATGTTTCACAGTCAAAACCGTCTCTACTGCCACGAAGAAGTAATTTAAAATGATCCACTTTGTTAGCAACATGTGGTGTTTCATTAATCCATGATAAAATTTCTTGAATATGATTTTCAGTGATGATAGTTGAAATTTGTTCCGTAGGATTTTTGGTGATGATAGTTGAATTTTGTTCCATAGATAAATTTGTGGGTATAGTTGGATAGGGATGCTCTTCAATGTCTTCAATATGATGTTCATATTTAGATTCGTGCGAAACATCATTAGCATTTCCAGAAGAATGACTAATTGTACTTGAGCTATAATTAATAATTTGTAATTTATTTTTGTCATTGCCTTTGACAGGGTCTATTTATATAAAGTAATTAAGTAATTAATCAAGGAATGTGGCTATCGACATAACTATTTAGAATTGTGAGGAAACTTACTATAATATTTGTACACATGCTCCAGCTCTAATAATGCAGAGGGTAGTTGACATCGTTCTTCCGGATCGTATTTTGTTAAATCAGAAATTAGTTGCGTATAACGATGTGGACTTTCTTTCGGTAGGCTTTTCAATAGACGCTTTATTGTATTCCGATCACGTTTTTGTTTTTTTATTTTATCAATACTTAATTCTTTGTAAGGTGTTTCACCATTCATAGCAACTAAAGATAATGGTCAGAAATACGTATGTTTTATAAATGTAAAATCCAAAATATAATGAAATGCATTGATTTTACCTGACCATAAGATTAATCCAAAGGAATACATATCTGAAAGTTTGGGGTATCTATTCAAAAAAACACGTTTTCAAGGTTTACTATCAATAAAGTAATTACTCATTTAAAAAAAAAAAAAAAACAAAAAAAAATAATTTATTTACTTTTCAAAAAATTCCAACATTTTAGCATCTGAACTAACACGTTCAGGAGCTACCCAAATTATAGTTCCACCAGCCTTTCCACCATTCAGTTCTAAGCGACTTTTAGAACTTGAAAGCCCAAAATCTGCCAACTTTGGTGTAAAATCTTTATCTAAAAGGATATTTTGAGGTTTAAGATCTAAATGATATACATTATTTCTATGGCAATGCATCACACCGCGAGCTATCCCGTGACATATTTTTGCTTTAGATCTCCAGTCGACTATATTTCTTTTAAGATATTGAGACAGATCACCATTTGGTGCATATTCAAGAACAAGATGATAATTCTCAGCTACAACGCCATATAATTTGAGAATATTATCGTGATTTTGTAAACTGAAATAGATTTCAAATTCCTCTCTTAATCGTTTATTGTCATTATACTGTCATTTTATATTAATAAATTATGCAACTTTAGATAAATCATTTTTTACTCAAGTAAAAATTACAGCATCAAATAGATTCAATATTACACCTTGCTTTGTTTTACCACTGCTATTTCATCTCGAAATTTAGCCTTATGTATTTCTC